GCCCCTATAAGTTTAATTCCATAAATCCGTCGGGCAGTTAAAAATATATGAATAAATACAAATACCTAATACAAATTAACCATAAAAAAAAAAAAAAATAAAATAAAATGTATAACTTGTTTTCTATAAATAATAAAAATTGAAAAAACATATAAAATCGTCCTTCCGGATTATTATTTTATTTACTGACTTGATAATCAGTTTTGGATAATCTGTGACCTTTACCTATGTGTTTATAGGTAGGTAGCTAAATGTACTGTTTTATTGCGATTGACAATCGTCCAATAATTAACGTTAAAAAAAATGTTCGGAAAAGTGTTGAAATCGCAGCCTCGCGCATTATTGGCACTCGTCGCCAGAGGCCAAGCGAAACACGATATTTCACATGAAATTCAGAACGATAGTGGAACGTTGTAATTAAGTTGTTACAGTTGTTTATACCGCCTCGGTAGTTATTATTATTATTGCAGTCGTCGCGTCAATCAGTCAATCGAGTTTTATTCACCGTTATTTCCCGGTGTCATTTTTATTTTTTTCACAAAACGTGCAATTAATAACGTATTTTTATTCTATTACAAATGGAAGAACACGGGTATAATTTATCACTCAGAGAATAATAAATTACATCTGTCAACGCAAATCGTTTGAAAATGTAAACGTGTAGTATACGAATTGGAAAAAGTGTCTATACCTAATTCAGTGTTTCCGCATAAAATGTCAAAATATAATACTTACATTGTTAAACGTTAAACCTACGCGGATTTTTAATGAGCGTTTTACCATATGCGAAAAAATATTCATACATAAATCTAGCAAAGCTCCAGAGGCGTATTTAGAAGGGGGGGAGTGATACCAGGTTTAACCACCTTCCCCTTGATAACCACCCAAGTTTTTTTTTAAAAACCAACATTTTTAAACCTGCCTTTTAACAATATTATTTAAAAATTGTATACATATACTATATACATACTATATATATACTATATACTATATACATATACTTATGGATTTCTTGTCATTATATTTAAATGAACATTTTCGTTTATATTATTGAGTATAATTAAAATTTTTTTATGATTAGTTTACGACAGTTTTTCTATCTTTTTTTTTTTTTATTTAAAAATGCACCTCAACTATACCAGGGTTATTAGTGTTTTTGGAGGAACACTATACATTACATTTTACAATTTCTAAAATTCATTACTACTATACAGTTGCATTCAAAATATTTTTAAATGATACATTAAAGTCTAGTTATCGAAAATACATGTGATACAATCTATGTGTTTTTGTTATATTTTTTGAAATAGGTTAGTATCTTTGAGGAGTTCCAAAAGAGTCGATGTTCTCTCTGTGTGGGGTGATAGTTTTAATATAAATAATTTATTATATCGTTGAATAAGAGTATAAATATATTATATGCTAGTATATTTATACTAACATATTTATTGAAGTACAGCTAATTATTTTGTGGTATTTTGGTTTTTATAAAATGAGTTGTAATATACATAATAATCTTTATATATTATTAAAACGTGAGGCGATTTCTTGTGACAGTTATAACTGAAGTTCTACCGGGCCGATTTTCACAATTTTTTCTTTAAATATAAAATATTCTCCGATTTGGCCGAACTTTAAAATTCTTAAACTATTTAGAAATAGGCGAGTACACCAAAATGAAATTGAATGTTACAAGTTTTTTCTTTTTATTGAACTTAAGCCCGAAGACTAGGTCCATTAGCTGTTGTAGGGGTTATGAACTGTGACAGGGGGTAAGGTTGGTTGGTTGTTTTTTGTTTTTTTTTTTTTACGATTGTTACGGTAGATAGCAAACACGTGTATGTGTGGCAAGGTTTTTAACTACTATGAACCCGGGTGGCCACCCATCCGGTAATTAGTAGCTGTGGTCGTTACTTACTCCCAGTCGCATTCCGCGACTGGCAGCAGTCAACGCGCAACGCCGAGCCACTTACAAGTTTTTGTTACATATTGGAAATTGCAAATACCCACTAATAAATCTTTATTCGGACGAATATTCAATTGAAATAAAACCATCGCTATTATCAAGTGATATAATAAAAGACGTTTTTGAAAATATTATTTTTAGTTTAGAAAATGTGTCTACTTTTTCACAATTTGCTATTCTTACATCTAAAAATGAACATTGTGATGAGATGAATAATGCAATTGTCACTATGTTGCCAGGGCCAGGAAAAAGGTATTTAAGTTTAAGTATAGTGTCAAAAGAATGTGACGATTTTTTGTTTCCTACAGAATTTTTAGATAGTTTACATTTAAGTGGTTTACCTACAATACAGTTTGGTACTAAAGAAAGGTGCTATTGTAATACCTTTGAGAAATTTAAATGTGATCTCCAATCTAATGAATGACACAAGATTTATAGTACGAAATATGTACGATCATTCTTTAGACTTGGAATCTATAACTGGTCCCTTGACTGGTCAGCGTATTTTATAGCCTAGAATTGATTTAACCCTGACAGTTTCTAAACTTCCCTTTTCATTTACCAGACGTCAATTTTCGAATAGCTTTTGTACAGGGTAAAACATTAGATAAAGTAGGTTTATATTTACCCAAACCTGTGTTTAGTCATGGACCATTGTCAACTTTGTGTTGCCATGTCCAGAGTTAGATCTTTCGAAAAGTTAAAAATACAAATAATACCAAACAACAACAAAAATACAATGAATATAGTTAATAAAGAAATTAAATAATAATAATACACAAATTCGTTGAAATTCATTTGTTTATAGTGTTTATACATTTCTTTTGTTTTGGGTGAAGTATGTATAGTTTTCCCATTCATAAAATAAAAATATATCTTACGTATACCTATCTATAGTATCTATAAATGTAATTAAAGCTTAAAAAATTAAATTATTTTCCATTTTATGTTTTTTATTAATTGCATACTATTCTAACGATGTATACATGATACATCCTTTATATTTATTTATATATACTCAATTATTATTCAACTATTTGATTTTTTTACCGTAACCCGGCAACGACGGGTAATTTAGCTAGTATTAATAATTATTTGCGGATAAAATATTATAACTTATGACTATGAAATTTTATATTAAATCAACAACTTTGTATAACCCTGTACGACGACGATTATTTCTTCCCAGCGAAAAATTTAATATATATAATTGGGTCACTAAACTGACAAACAATTTTCAAGTCTTGTTGATGTTGGAATATGTAAGATGATATAATATTTTATGTTGACACACTTATTTTGGTCGATAGACATATACGTATTAAGTCACATAACGTACGTTATTTACAATAACAATAACTATACTAACTCACATTTCATTTCATTTCATTTTTTTTTTGTACTTAAGTAGAATAACGTGAACAGAAATCATAACATCTATACGCATGTATGGAAAAACTTCTATACACATTTAAGTAAACTAAACATTGGTCGAGGCCTACACAAAGCGTTTACAGAGTGGTCTAAAACAGATTGCTACATATAGTAGCCGGAGGCAGATATATCATATTTATTTGAAAAACAAACACGTTTAAATCATTATCAGTTTACCTAATGGTTTACACAACATCTAAACAAGATATAAAAATTCAAATGAACACATTAGACTATATACGTACTATTATAATGTCCATACTCCATAATATTCTATCTGTGTCCGTACCTCGAAGTAACGGAAATAAGTATTAAATATTAATTCAACATTCGTTTATAAAAATATAATATAATAATAAGGTCCATAAATCACGATCGAGTGTCCGACTTGGTGGCTATAAAAAAGTTCTTCTCTCGATGGCCATTTTCGATTTTATAGTTGATTTAGCCATAGATTTTGAGGCTCATGTTTGTATAAAATTGTCGTTTTAGTACAGTGTATCAAAAAAATTCAATAATTTTTTACGGCATTCCCTTGTTTGATTAGTCTATTGATTTTGACACAAATCAAGGTCTTATTGATAAAACTAATGAATATATATTCAGATTGTAAATTACTTACATAAAGATGTCAGTAAAAAAAGCCCAAACATATGTTCGAATAGTCGAATTCGCTAAATAAAATGATTATAATTAATTATTAAAAATTAATCAATTTAGTTGCAGGGATGATAAAATAGATAACTTTGTTGCTTTACATTGACGAATGGTATGGGAAATAAATGTAAGCATAAGTGAACTTGTTTCCGGGGCTATGGTAATTTAAAAAAAATAGTGATTCATATTAGTTTATAAAAATTTAAAATTTATAAAAATGGTCCTAGATTAATTTTATATTTTCGTAAAACCATTTTTAAGGATTATACTACTTTAATATAAACATTTTAATCAATGATAAATACCTACTACTTCGAATTTTAAATTGTGAAAACACCTACAACGACGTTTTCAAAAAATATATATTTTAAATAAATAAAAAGGGTACGCTTTTCTTTGAAAAACAGAAGTTTGTATCACCACAGAACACTCCTTAAGTAGTAAAATTTGGTCTCTGAATAGGTACCTATATTTAAAATTTCCAAAAATCAGAAATCAAAATAAATAATGGAGGTAAGCAAGTTTGGTGAATTACACTGTACAAAAAAAGAAAAAAAACGTTATTATTATTTGGTTAATGCATAACTAGTCTATAAAGGCATACCGAAGAATTTACAAATTTAAATTTAAACAACAGTCAAAAATTTGTTTGTACATATATAACACGATTTTGCTAGTAAATAATAAGTGCATTACTTAGTATTCTAATTGTATGTAGGGTAACTTAGAACTATTATACAATATACACCTATTATATGCTCTAGAATGACTAGTTTTCGTGTTATGACAATTTTATAAATAAATTACACATAAATTAAATAAAAAATTGGTCGACCTTTTGCTTGACGGGTCAAACAACAACAACAGACTGTTTAACTTTCTCAGCCTTCGCATATATACCTATATTATATCATGACCTATAGGTATATATATATATACATACTATATATATATATATATGCATATATTGTGCTTGAAACCGTCGTAGTATATAATTATATTCAACAATCGTAGTGTTATCGATCCGCAATAGTTGACACCAGGAGACTCACGATCTTCAATAATTAGTCTGTGAATTCTTCCAGTGCCAAGGTTCGCAGATCGTTTTTCATCACCGATTGTGATAGACAATGTTCACCACGGGTATCAACGAAAAAAAAATTTACAACAATAATAACAAACCTAACAATATAGTATGCCTAATATTATTACATTCTTTATGTCTAAATATCCGTCGGTTGTGTGCATCCTCTTATACATTATACACGGTTCCGTCGTCGCTATTTTATGAAATCGTGTAGAACAACCGTTTTCGAGGCCTGTAGAATCGGACTGACTGAAAATCAAAAATTACAAACAATTAAATAAACATTAAATTACATAATACACATAAATATTAGGTACAATGCAAATAGGTACAATTTAATACAATTATAATAATATACATTTTATAATTAGTCGGTAATTTTTTCTTCAACAATTGAATAATTTAGGCGAATACCTATGATGCTAAACCTCAAAATGTATTTTCTACCTTTACAACGGCTGTGCACCAGCGATCGGATAAAATGAATGATAATATTGTATGTTCGATCGCATAAGGGTTTAAATGTATAGTGGTAAAATCAAAAGTTTTGGGGAAAATGAAATCTGCCGTGTTCCGTATATAATATACGCACTTGCAAATAATAATGTGCAGAAATCAAGTAAGTTTATAATATATACATTTATTATTGGGATGTATATTACTCGTCAGACGAATATCAGACGTATAATTATGTAAATTATAAGTTGTAATTATTAGGTCCTTAGCCCAGCAAGTATGCGCAGGGTGATAGAAGTAGGTCTTGTCAACTTTTTTTTTTTTATCTATAGAATAGTATAGCGTTGCGAATGTCAATAGAAAACACAATTAAAATCACGTTTTTTCCCTAAAAACTTGTATGTGTGAAATTAATAACAATTACTAAACTCAATACAATACCACAAGTACATTTCGAAGAAGCCTGCAGCTCATTCCGGTCCATTCCGAAGCATATAATATGAACCCACACACCGTGTTTCCTACACACTAAGCGATATTCGAAATTTACCGTCGACATTAGATCTTTGGCGTTGAATAGTAAATTGAAAATAATATTTATTCAGTATTGAATTCAATAATAACGAATTGTGTAGTTCAAAGTCAATCTTGCTCGGATGCTGGTACACCATACACTACACATCCTATATGGTTACCCATCTTAAGCGTTTTCCGGGTTTTTGTGGGGAACACATGTGTATCCATGCGATATAGGCAACTATTTAAATTCAAACCAATTACATCATCTTTTTAAATTCTCAGTACACATTCCTGTTTCTACTACAGACATTTTATGACTGATGAAAATAACAGTTACTTTTAATATATGATATACCTACCCATAACCTTTCAATATTTTTCTCTGTTCGTAACTGCGTACTGCACGTACCTAGCGAATAATGTGCGCTGAAATTCTATGTTTCTAGTTGTTGATATATTATACCACAGTTATACACGGTATTGATAACCATGGTATGTACCTGATATAGAGTAATATATTGTTATGTAACGCACCGTTATGACAGTGAGCTGATAGTAGTAATCTGAGTTTTGACTGCACTGAAGTGAGGTATTGTGTTGGAAAAAGGCTCGATGAATAACCGTTGTTTACATCGTATAAGGACTATATTATAATATCCATTGTTCAAAATTTATGAATTGTAATAAATATAATTAATATTAGTTGATTTAGTCAATATAGTTCATTATTAATAATTTAAAATATATTTCATAATTAAAAGATGATAATTGAAAGCTTATGCACTGAAGAAGAGTACCTAATATATTTACAAAAATTGCTCAATATAAAATATTGTAGGTACTGATAAGTTAAATTTATAATTCACAATATCCTAGTAAAATCATATTTCATCACTTTATTATTGTTCGGCTGTATACATTGTGTATTTGTAGAAAATTGAATCACGCTTCTATCAAATATTGTTTTTTAATGGCATATTTTATTACATTATTTTCATTTTAGGTACCTGTATAATATCGCGAGATGATTTTGTCGAAATTGTACTATATTTACAGTTGTATTACTTGTAATTTCATGTTGCAATATAAATATAATTATGTTTAATACATTTTAAACAAAAATGAAACTGGACCAGATAAACCGCGCAGGACAACGATCGAATGAAAGGAGTATTTAATAATAATTGTTAACCATTATAGGTAGTTTTTTTTTCATATTGATATTTTATTAATTTTAACACGAATATAGTCTGTACACTTAGTGGGAATACTATAATAAATCATAATACATTCTGAATTCTGTACCTATTTAGTGTTGACCAAAATTCAGCGATTATTTAAATAATTTGTCGGTTTGACAATACCACAGTCCATGGGTAATAATAATAATAATAATAATAATAATAATAATGTATAGATATGAGATTAAATCTTTGTTGACTTTAACCGTCGGTATTAATCATATTTTTCTCGCCCAACACCGGTGTACTGCAGGAGAGCCATATAATAAACCTACCTACGCACATCGACAAAATGCACAATACTAGTAGCCGAAAAGTATAATAATAATAATTATAATCGCGAAATACGACGGCGCGTCGCGTGCGTGTCATAAATTTGGGTCGTTGACATTAAATTCTAATAAAATATATATATTATTATAGCCATCTATACACACACCGCGGCAGTGTAATAGCGTATAGGTACTCATATATAAAATATTTTAATATACCTTATATACATGTAGGCACGCAATAAACTCCTCCGCGCGGGTCTGATGATTTATGACGGCCGTGTGCACATATAAAACGTATGTACAGGTAGGTACGTAATGTGCCCATACTCGCGTTATTTATGCGTTTATTCGCGGCTGAACCGCTGCAGTAGTAGGCAGGTAGTATAAAATATAATAATATAATAGTGGTCGTCGTCGTCGTCGTCGTCGTCGTCGTGTATACAGTGTGAGCACTCGTTATATTTATATATAATGCTGCGGAGGATATATCCGGAGAATAAGTGTCCGACGACGTGTGAAATTCGCATCCATGAATATTCATTTTTATCGAGTTTGAAAAAAAAAAAAAAATAATGATATAATATATAATAAAAACCGATGGTTAAGTGCCTTATTCGTCGTCGTATGCATATTATAATATGCGTTTGTAATAATATTATATTATATACCGCATATTATTATGGACGCGTGAATAGATTATTATATTATTACAGGGGCCGAACGACGAGTAAGTCGTAGTAGGCACCGATCACTTATTGTTTAGATTTTTTTTTTTTTTGTTATAAACACCAATCATGTAACAATATAATATAGTCGGCGCATTTGATTGCAGTGCGCCGGTACGCAGAAAAGTGAAACTTTTATTAATTTGCTTTACTGCGAAATATTTCGGACGATTATAAATTAAGATACTTTCAAATGACGAGCGAGGTTTTTCGGGGGGAGGAGGAGTGGCCAGAGCAGACGAATAGTTATCGTGAGTCATCCGAATGAGGCGTACACTTTTTTTCCAGTTATACAATTTGAAATCAAAAGTATGCCTCAACTTGGGACAAAAAAGTTCTAACTCTTAAATTTTGAAAATAAGCTTGATAAATTAAACCATGTATACATTGACAGCAATATTGGATTAAACTGGTTAAAAACGATCCATTATCAGGCAAGGTAGTCGAGGTACAGAAACAAAATATAGTATGTATTTCTTTAAAAAAAAAAAACACTATAGTTATACAAATGCTTCGTTTTGATTGTTTTGATTTAAAAAATGTATGGAATTATAAAGTAACATTTTACTTTAACCGACTTTATACAGGAATACATTTATTTTTAACGTGTAAAAAGGGTTTGTAGAACTTTTTAGATGTGTACAAATATTTTCTCAAGTTATCATTATAATTTGTGATCCTTACTTTCTGTTATAGATAGGTATAGTCGTATGGAGTTTTAACTATAGTGCTGTGATGGACAAGTGCAGTATTTTACGTCTATAATTTGACTTTCTTTTTTTCATGCTTTAACTAAAAAAAGAATTGTAGTCTTGAATCTTAAATTTGCCGTACTGAAAAATTAAAAAAAAAAAAAAATAGAGCTTCTTTATTCTTATTGCCCAATGCCCGCGATGTGTCAATGTCCATACATCGATACCCTCTCCCCACGATCCCATCCACTAATCAAGTTGATTAGTCTTGATTACATCACTGCATACATACATAAAAATGCGCAACTTTTATACATATTTCATTCTAGGTTGTACGATGATGAATCCCATACGTAAATAATGTAACCTGTAATTGGTATATTATGCTTTATTGCAGCAGTTGTGAAAATCATATTTTTGTCGTATAAAGTATGTGATTTTCACACGGCACAAAAAGACACGCGTATACTGCAAGATTCTTCGTGAAACGCGCTGCACCACGAGTAAGCTGCAGTGTACTTATTATATTGTTATTTATTATTCATTATTAAATGTTGTACAACGTAACTCCTATTGTAGTATAGGGCTGTGAATGCCACATAATTATGTCGTCTGGGCGACAGTGACCCGAGGAAAAAGTCACATTTAAATCGTGACAACACGTCAACATATTACGATTCAATAACCGAAGAAGCAATATTAAGTTATAATTTATCGTGATAATATGTACACTATAGTGCATATTTGTAGAAATATACGAAAACGATTTTAAAATTTTGTAATTTATTTGCGGAAAAGGTATGGTTTAATTTTCCTTCGCCAGTGGAGACGTTCAAAAAGACATTCGAGTACTTTCGAAAAGTTATAACTTTTTTAAATACCATTTTTACATATTAAGTTGATGTTGCAAAACAACATTATCGAAAAAATTACATTCATTAATTTTTTTATCGTTGTATATTTTTAAGTTAAGTTTTTTTACTTATTTTGAACGACATCATACATTTTTGATTTTATACTCAGAAACAGATTATTATTTAGAGTACTTTTGATACATGAACATTTTTGAATTTCCAACAAGTAGCTTATGAGTTATAGGCACACCAACATTTTCAGAAAAATTATCCACAAAATAATTTACTGTTGAAAAAGAAAAATTTTATTGGAAAGACAGAAATGTGTTACTCCACATAACACTTTACAAGAGTAGTACAAACAATCTCAAATAAATGAATATATGCGATATTTAGGTAAATTCTAAAATTTGTTAAAAATCAGATTTTAAGTAACTGCATAATAATCAATTATTTATTTTATTGTAGTTTTTAAATTGATTTTTAC